CAGGAGGAGTAGCTGCCAGTTAGCTTTTTGTCATGTTAACAGTCTAGGCATTGTATAATCAGAATTTTATTGTCTATACAGAAGTCAATTAATCTGTGCTTTGATTTTCTGGTTTTGTTGTTAATACATGTTCAGAGTCATCTAATATAATTTTATTTATTTTGCAGATTAACCCTGATTCTGCTAAAGGGTACAAATCCCGTGGCATCGCACGAGCAATGCTTGGCCAGTGGGAGGAGGCTGCCAAGGATCTTCACGTAGCTTCTAAGCTGGATTACGATGAAGAGATCAGTGCTGTACTGAAGAAGGTATTTCATTTTCAACAACTGCACCATGCATATACATAATAAGTATGTTTACATACTCATGCTGTGCTACCAATAATTAACAGTTGTATATTTTTTAAGTTGATGGTATTATTAGTGTGTTCCTGGTTTTATTTGGCCAAAAGCCCCTAAACTGATAGTTTCTTAAGCCCCTAAGATGTCAACTTTTGTGTTGTTCTTTTCGGTGCATTACTTAAGAGTTCAACTTTAACCTTAGGTTGAGCCTAATGCTCACAAGATTGAGGAGCACCGTAGGAAATATGAAAGGCTTCGCAAAGAAAGGCAAGATAGAAAGATAGAACGAGAGAGACAGCGTCGCAAGGCTGAAGCTCAGGTTAATTTGCTTTGTTGGATGTACAAGAAGCTTTATAACTGGCTTATTAATCTATTATTATATACTCTGCCTTAGGCTGCTTATGAAAAGGCTAAGAAGCAAGAGAAGTCATCATCAAGTGGAAGACCTGGAGGCATGCCAGGTGGGTTCCCAGGTGGGATGCCTGGTGGTTTCCCTGGAGGCAGCATGCCTGGTGGTTTCCCTGGAGGCATGCCTGGTGGTTTTCCTGGGGGCATGCCTGGAGGGATGCCTGGGAATGTTGACTACAGCAAGATATTGAATGTAAGTGGTGTTCTGTCCTCGGTAAACACTATGTGAGTGGTGTGTAGCTCAGATTACTGTCCATGGTACACAGCAGATATGAGTTTTCATCTGTCAACTTTTGGAAATTTTCTGATTATTTCGCACAAGTGAAGGTATCAGTTGCCAATAATAATTCCATGTTTTTACTTTATGTTATTGTCTGGAGCAGGATCCTGAACTAATGGCAGCATTCAAAGATCCAGAAGTCATGGCTGCTCTCCAAGATGGTATCTTTCCTTCCTGAAATATTTTCCTTCCTATCATCTGATACTTTACTATTTTAGCGGTGGCCATTTGCTTTTTAATCAGAAAATATTAATGTTTAAAAACATTAGTGGGTACATTCTCACTGTTTTGCTTCCAAGAATACCATGAACTTGTGGTGTTTGTTTGGGCCTTGTGGGTTAATAAGGCACTTGGGATGTCTCATGTACATGCGTTTTGTGTTTCAGTGTTAACCATTAGAAGGGCTGACAATGGTTGGCTTTTCAATTCTTACGACAGGCAAAATTTACAATTTATTGTCATAATATTGGGATGCATCCGTGAAGAATTGTTATATTCCTGCTTTTTGTCTCCTTGACTTGCAGTTACATAGAGGTGCCATGTAGCAAATTAACTGGATGTTCAACTGCTTGTTTGCTTCTGGTGCTTAGGATGACCATCGTTGTTCACGAACAACGTCTCGTATTCATGATTTTGTTCTTTCTTTCCACTAACTTGGGGAATTGTTCTGCAGTGATGAAGAATCCTGCCAATTTGGCCCAGCATCAAAATAATCCAAAGGTAGCTCCCATCATTGCAAAAATGATGAGTAAATTTGCGGGACCAAAGTAGATTCCTGGACTAGTGTATTATCTGGTTTTCCACACTCGGACATCCAGGGTGTCACGCGGTATCCAAGCTGAAAGTCAGTGTGCATCTTTGCTTTCCATGTATTGCAATATGTCTTTACTGCAGCAGGAGTTGAGGTTTTCATTTTGTACACTATTTATGTTGGAAAGTTTAAATTTTTAAATCTCCCATAATGAAGATTATCGATTGATGGGAATGCTGCTCAGTCTTTTTGAAGAACAGTTGGCCGGTTTTGTGTGGTAGATTGTTGGTTATATGTAGCTAAAATCTATTCCCTCGTGCTTTTCTTTTGGGCTGGGATCTGTATTTCTTGTCTTTTTAATGTTGGGCTGCTACAAGCAAAACGAATGTAGAACAGGTATGAGCTAAAGCATTTTCTGGAGATGGCGATGAGATTACGTTGGAATTAGGGAATTTTTTTCTGCAGTCGTACTTTCTTACAAGTCTTGTTTAAAAAAAAAAAAAAGAAAAGAAAGAGCACAATCAAATTATTTTTTCAACTTGAAAATTCAAAGCAAAATAATGGATTAGAATGGGATTATATTGTTCACATACATCGTTTTCAACTTGGGATCTCGGATGGTTTGCTTAATAAGTTACAGAACGGGAATACAAGAAGGGGCAAAAAAACTAATAATAATTGAGGGAGTTCGGATCCTGACATCTGTCCCTTTAGCGTTATTTCGCGGCAATTGCTTATAGACAAGGTTACAAAGAGCGGTTGTCTGCTGGCAATCGGGCCACCATTCTGGTTTTGGATCTAATGACACACCTTACAAAATCTAAAGCTGGGCGTTCGAGGCTGATAAAGGTTGCTTGTTGCATGCAAAAAAAGTATGTCGGCAAATAAATCTTTTGGTCTGCGTCATTTTCTATATTTCGACTGTAACCCGAACCTGATATCTGAAAATTGCTGCCAAAGGGGTTTAGGATAGTGAGTGATTCATGACTGGTTTTTGTGAAGAAGCAGTCCGGGTGTGGTATGGTTCGCCAGCAAACTAGTGGTGAGACTTGTACAGAACCAAAATTTAAACAAGAAGCAGACTCCTTTCGAGAAAACAATTAATTAGCACTTACCAACCCATTAGGATATTGATTTGTTTATTATTCATGGATATTGATTTGCTTTTTGCACGATTTTTTTGTCAGTTTTGGGATCAAATTTTAGACCCTTTTTGTCAGTTATTATTCCTTTTTTTTTTTTTTCGGGGTCAAAAGAACACCAGTTCTTTTGCAATGTGTTCTTAAATGAAAATAGAGGATTGGGCTCGTCTCTCATCCCACCAATAATTTGAACGGCAACCCGCTACTCTTTCATCTCCCAGGAAAAGAACCGTTGGTAGAAACGCACTAAGACCAAAACGCCATCTCTATTCCACCACCTGGTTACATTACAATCTCAATAAGATCATATAATAAGAAGTTTCACCTTATTTACTAATTTTTTGACGAGTTCAAAAGCAAGCAACTATTTATTTCGAGTTGCCTGAGAATTCAGGCGTTAAATTCCGAGTCGGTCGCCTGCTAAAGTTCTTCATCTACCCCAACCGTGTATGACTACCCTGTCTCATGCATCTTTTCTACGGCTCTTAAAAGCATTTCTTACCTGTGATCCATCCTGGGTTGATATGTATAAACAATAATATATTCATGATGGCTACGTATAACCTTTTCCGATCTAACCTGGGGGGGCGTGTGTGTGTGTTTTTTTTTTGTCTTGAAAACCTGTCAAGCATTGTGTTGATTAGAATTTCACTCGTCACTAGAGGCTTATATTTTTCACAACCAGCCAATCCTTTGGGTACCACAAATAATTTGTTAGAACGAGTTTTTGACGATACGTGTCCTCCCACAATCTGACTTTTAAAATGAATTATGTTTTAGTCTGCTCATTTTCTTTTTCACATTATGTAAGGTGAAAAATTCAGTTCCAAGAGTACTTTTCTTATTTCAAGAAATCATGTGCTAATTAGACATAAATTCCAACATCTTTAATAACAAAATCAAAATATATTACACTAAAAAAAGGACATAAACATGACCTTTAATTACATATGAATATATGAAATTTGTATATAATCTTTGCAACTTCAAAAAAAAAAAAAAAAGAGAGAGAGAATAAAGGAAATAGATTTGCAATTTAGACTCTAGAGTTTGACCACTTTCACCTTAACTTGGGAGTTAGTAGTAAGCAGTATTAAATGGGAAATTTCTTGCCATCTAACAAACATATCTAACTTTGCTTACTATTTCCTCAACAACTTCCATCTTTCCATGTCTTTAGACAAAAAGTACTATAAACAAACCATAACATCTAATCTACACATTCCATCTTCTTGAACCATTGATTACGGAGTTGATTATCTGAGACATTTCAGTTCAGTTCTAACACATTTATTCTGACTAATACTTGAAATCTTCCCATTGATTAGTTCATTACAAATCATCTGGTAGGCCCACCACCCCTACTTTTGTACACCATAAAGTGAAAGATTGATTGTTTAAATTCATAATAAGGGTTGATCTAATCCTTGAATCTAACGAGCTTTGGTAGCTTAGAGATAAAACAGTGGAATTAATTCAATTGCTACTCAAAAAAAGTCTCAAATGGGATTCATTTGCATTCATTTTCTTGACTTTAAGATGTCTGTTGGTTTGCTTAATGACGATTGCATTACGTACAAAACACATCATTGAGTCCTTGGCACACTAATTAACAATTCTCTTCCTTTGTGGGAAGTAGGAACAGTTAATCCCCTGCCATTTTTTTTTAGTTTATTATTATTATTATTTTTTTTGGTGGGTAATTTTAGTTCGATATCTGTACTTTTGATTTGTTAGCTCACGTGTCGCTTTAAATGTGCTTCATGATGGTGCTTAAGGCATAATGGTGTTAATCTTGCCCTTAAGACTCGCTTTCTGCTGTGCTATAACCACAAGTGGAGACATTTCTTAGGATTAGAAATTAATAAACCTTCACGATGCCGATTAAAGTGGTAAAGAAATGAATAATTGCTCTTAGAATGAGTTTAAGCATTTCTTTGCTTTGGTGGTAAGTTGTATCCCGGGGACAATTTATCTGCGTTACTTTCTATACAAGTAGAATGGAACAGAAGTCAGCTCAAATTTGCTCCCATAAGTTTCCGTCTGTTGGTCCAAATGAAAGTGAACGATGAGCAAATTTAGGCGAAATTTTTTTTCTTTTTTGGCTTCCCAAATTGTTCCTCCCTTTCCCCTTCTCCTCCCGCCACCTCCCCTCTGCCACCGTGACCCCCTCCCTCCCGCCAACCCCCTGTGCCCCTTCCCCCCTTGCCACCGCGACCCCCTTCCCCGCCACCCTCCTGACCTTTCCCTCGGCCACCCCCGCCCTTTCCTCTGCCAACCCCTGCCCTTCCCCTTCCCCTGTCCCTTTTCCCGAAACTCCCTTCCCCGCCGCCCCTCCTCCCTCCCCCTCCCCCGCCACCCCCTGCAAAAGTTAAATCCGCCGCCCCCTGCAAAAGCTCCCCCGTCGCTCTCCTCTGCCCGCAACCCCTCCCCCCACCCCTGCAAAAAGCTCCCTCTCCCTCTGCCCGCAATCGAACAGGAGGGCGGCCGGAAGATTCAGGTTGGTCTGGGGTGGCCAGAATATTCAGGTCTAAAGACAGGAGGGCTCTTGGCTTCTTGACTGCAAATTCTCGAGAACCCTCCTCGTCGTTACTGCTGGTGCCAGTTAGCATCGGCAGAATCTTTTTTAATTTCAATCTTTTTTAATTTTTTTTTTTTGCAATTTTCTTCTCCCCAAGCTGCGGGAGGGGGAAGGTGGCGGGAAAGGCAGAGGGAAAGAGGGGAGGGGGGAGGGAGAAAGAAAAAAAAAAGAAAAAAGAGATTTTGGAAACTAACATATCGGTCAAAGGGGGAGGGGAGGGAGAGAAAAAAAAAAAAAAGAAAGGCCGGCAAAAGTTGGCCGGAATAGTTACCGGCACCGGAAGCGGTGTGGAGGTGGTGGCCGGTTGGGTGGGGGAGAAAAAAGAAGAAGAAAAGTTGAAGGGAAAGTTTTTTGTGTATTATTTTGAAGTGTGTAGGTAAAAAACTTTGATAAATTTTTTTGGGTTCCTGTAGCAAAAGTTGTTAAAAAACTAGTAGCTAAAAAACTTGGCCAAAAACTTCACTTCCAAACAAGCCCTTTATCTCTACTACTGATACTTCTACACGCATGTCTAAAGTTCATAGAATCTTGTTACAGAGAAAATGACATAATGTTAAACCTTACGGTTGTACTTTAGACATATCTACAAAATTTGAGTCCATCAAAACGATAGACATGATATATTAGGATCTTGTGACCGACACAAGGTTCAAGAGTTGGGTTATGCCTTTCGACTTTTGGAGTGACTTTACTGTTAGGATTGCTTATTTTTAAGAGTTTTTGCAGAAATATATATTGCAGCGATTTGATGTATGTGAGGTAAAAAGATAATTAAAAAATATGTTAAAAAAAATGAAAAAAATTTTCTTTTCGTGTTCGCTGCCCCAGGTCAAATGTGCAGGCAGCCAACTAGCCAAGTGCTTGGCTAATCATGTGTTGGTTTTTGCACGAAAGTTGATGTTCATCATAAGTTTGATGATCCACCAACTGTCGAGTTCAATGAGGATTGAGGATTGTGTTTCATGAATGGCAAAGTGAGAAGAATTACAGCGGATTTGCACAACAGGCTCTTCACCTAAACCTTCTTGGTGAATTTTCTGGAATGTTTTGAGGACCACAACCTCATCAGATTTGAGAAGGTCCCAATATGATGCTTTGAAGCTCTACGTAGACATATTTTGTGGTTTTCTATTTCAACCATTTGCTGTTCATTTTCTGGTTTGATCACCAATTCGTAGCAAAACGTAGGGAAGCCAAATTGGCTGATATCGATTAGCTACTCTCCAAATGAACTCCCCTTTTGATATTCTTGCGTAGAGGTTAGGTTGACATGTAATATTTGAGGTTAGAATAGAGTATTTAAGAATTATCATCACATGATTTGATTTGAGGACATTTTGGATATTAAACCAAATTATTTGCAAACAAAATATACGGTTTCCGATTGGACCACATTCCTGGAGCCTTCAATCATGACCATAAATCTATGTGCTTCTTCCTTCATAATTTCTGTCAAAAAAATTCTTTCTTTGTTTTTTAATTTTTTTGAATTATTCACAAAATGTATCTCCAAGAAAGGAAATAAGTAATGATGAACATCAACATGTGATTCATTTGTGACCTACAGCTTCCCTTTTGATAGACATATATATATATAATTTTTTTTTTGGTCCACGTCAGGTATAAAAATATTACAATATTGGCATTTTTGTGCCAAATGCAAGAAAAGGATCTTAAGATTTATATCAAAGGAAAATTTCCACCTTTTCAGACCAGGCATGCTCCAACTTACTGCAATCTTTTAGAATCATCAAGTCCCCACAATTGAACCGGTTACAATTTGCTTTTTTTTTTTTTTGTTTTGTTTTGTTTCATGGGCTATTTGTACTTTTTTAATCATAATCACATGCTAATTCACTCACATCAGTCTCATCATTTGTCTAATTGTCTTCGTCTTAAATCTCTTTTGACTTAATCGTAGTGCAGGTTTAACTTTTGGCCTCCAACTGCACGTATATTGGATTTGGCTTTTACTTTTCCTATCAGCGAGCTACTGTGCCATGATCAGTTTTTGGATCTTAAGGTTGAAATGAGAAACATTGAGCATCAAGAATAGACCTACTCTTTGAGGTCAGTTTACTTAAATGAGATTTTTTTAAAAAAAAAAATTATGATATTGACTAATTTTCTTTAGATCCTCATGGAAATGCCTTGTAATTGCTTAATGCTAGTGCATATCAATTTTCATTTAATAGGACACTGCAAGAACTTGACAAGTAAGATGCTCTAGTCACAGACGTTGGAAACCTAGGCCCCGTTTTGAAATTGTAGTGCTTTTGATAAAAAAAAAAAAAAAAACACTTTTGGGTGTTAAAAGTACATTTGAGGCGTTTGATGAACACCATTCCATAAAATTATGAATAGAGTTTTTGGTTTTAAAAACGTTGTTAGCAAAAGTTCAAATATGGTGCTTTTATAATAGCTTTGGTGTTTTAAAAAATAAAATATTAAATTTGATTATTTTATTCTATATTATATATGAACTAAATAAGAGATAAATATATTTAAAAAATTTTAAATTATACATAATTACTTATTGAACTATATATCTAAACAATATACTAGAAGTCACTTATTAAACACTTAATAAGTGTTTTTATTAAAATCTCTATTGATGAAGTATTTTTCAATAAAAACACTATCACCGCAACTCCAAACAGGCTCTTGATTAGATAATGGGATTTGGAGCCTGTACAGGTTAAATTTCTGTCATACGATAGAAAGCGGTTGTGGTAGAATGATTAGCATAAAGAATTGATGAACTAAGTGAAACTCGTGCTCATTTTACCACGCTCTTAGTTCTCTTTATGGATAACCATTATGCCATGTTGAACACCCATTAATTATGGCTTATCCAGTTATACTTATCAATTCTAATTCATGCTTGCAATTAAGTAAAGCCACATTAGTAAAGTTCAAAACCTAAACTGAAATTTCCATATTGGGTTTAAACTTTGGATACAAGAAGAACCACATGATTCTATCAAACCACATCGTTTGGCCAGGCTCCTCAAAGGCCTGAAAGAAAAATTGTGAAAAAGCGAACAAAAGATATGTCAATACTACTAATTACCAAAGCAGCTTTTATTGACTCTACTGCGAAGAATGATCAATGATCAGCTTTTAAACGGAAATATGTGCAAGAGGAGTCCCACACATCGACTTCTGATCATTGCTAATGCCTGCTGCCATGGATACAAGATGTGATCATACATGGCAATTCACAAGTCATTTGTGGTTATCCACATTCCACAAAGTTGGTTTTGTTTTCCTATCAATTATACAGCTTATAGATCCTCCCCAAAAGCATAAGATGCACCATTTGATTTTTAGTTCCAAGTGTTCTCTTTCGAGTGAACAAGCAATCCCTTGTTTTGCTTAACAACCTACAAGAAGCACTTTAAATAAATGATTTTTCTTCAGGTTTAATTAAGAAGATAACAAATTCTTCATTTATAATACATGTTAATGTATCCACGCCTTTGAATTTCCAAATGTTTTGACAAAACTAAAGAATTTCTAACGGAATTTCTCGAATTGCTCTGCCTAGCTGAGATTTTTCTTCATTGATTGTGTGAATACTGCTAGGCCGTCGTCCTTTTGCCTTTCACGATGTTGTTTTGGTTTCCATATTTAGAGGTACCACCAGTTTATTAAAAAAAAGGTGCATTATGTTCGATATTGCTTGGCATAATGCCAGACCCTCATGCTTGTTCATCTGGTGACGGTGTAACAAAATACTTTCTCCTGGATGGCATTTTGTGATGGAGACATGACGAAAGAAGGGCACCTTGCAGGGGAGACCTTTTGGCATGGCAAAGTGAACTGCGATCCAATGATATAAAGTAGCAGTGGAAAAGCCTATTTAGGCTAAGAAGAAAGACTTTGATCAGGAAAACATTTTTGCAGTTTGCACTGTGCGTACACATTGCAGAGAGAGAGAGAGAGGGAGAGCCCAGAGCCCAACTGGGTGGCGATGACGACCAAAAGGAGAATGTCCAGATACGATCAAAGATCTGTAAAATCATGGTTGTGGACCAAAATCCTAGTAATCTATGAAGAAGTCGAGGGTCCCGTCACATGATCGAGTTTTTGTTTGTGGGCAATGGTGATGTGATTCTTGCTGAAGTCTAATCATGTAGAATGTTGACCCCTTGACGAGAAGAGATGAGATGAGCTGAGAGAACCTTTTGCCCTTTACATTTTTTGTCCTATCTCCTTCCTGCTCTGGCTCCTCGAAATTTTCTAGCATTTCTTTTAACCTTTTTCTCTTTCCAGTTTCCCCTCCCCTCCTTGTAGTCTACTCCTCCTGTTCCTGATTCCGAGAGCTAGGATTGAGGGCAACTTCGCAGTTGCAGGTGCAAGTGCAACCAGCCGTGCAGCTAACTGGATTAATTCAATCTGGTATGCTGATCTGTTATTTCATCATAACTGGGTTAATAACATCAGAAAGGCATGCAAATATTTGATGAGCCAGAAAGAAAGGAAGACAGAAATATAGTGGGATCTCTGAAACCAAAGGCAAAGAGAACCAAAGCTTGGATTGGAAGGATTGGGCTTCTATAGGGGGTATTCACCCTAACCAGTGACTTCCAAACAATTGGCTACGAGGTTAAGACTTAAGACAACACAGTCGGTTTTTTCTTTTTGCGGCGTTAGACCATGAAAACGGTTGGAATTGACGAAGAGGTATCCAATCCATGCGGTAATTGACAAGTGGTATCACTTTGCGTCACGCGACGTTCACGGAGGGACTTGGATTCCATAGGAGAGTCTATTCATGAGATGACAGAGGTCAATCATCAACTTTCGACACTTTATCGATTGAAAATTTTAATTTGGCCTCTCAATTATAAAAAAAAAAAAAATCAGATTTTTGATCAATTGATCCATCTTTACCATTAGATTCGCTAGCTTTAATAGAAATAGACTGAGGGATCAAATATTGATTTTTTTTTTCTGGCTGAGATATCAATATGAGATTTGAAATAGATATCGTGTCCTAAATTAAAAATTAAAATAGTTTAAAATTTTCGAGATAGTTTACCTTTATTAGATTTTTAGATACATTACTCATCCCACTCTAGTCTAAAACAAGAACCAAAAAAAATATTTAATACATAGGTAAAAACTCGAGACATACTAATTTAAAGTTTTAGGTCAGGATTAATTTTCTACACACATATTATTAGATCTCTTTGGCGGCTTTGCAAAGGTTTTCTCCCTAATACTTTTTGAAGAGGCTTGTTTCCTGATTAGAGCTTTGGGGAGTACTTTTAACATAATTGAAGAAATGGCTGATCGTGCCTGCCATGCCATGCGAGAAACTTGAGTTTTAGCTGATGTAATTAATGGTCTTGTTGACCTAATTCCTTCACTCACTCCCGAATATAGATATAGCTACTCCTGTTGCCAGTTATAATCCCTGGCACCATATCCGCAGGAAACAGTAGTAGGCTGCTTCCTGGGTTGGGAAAAGAAAGCAAAAAAGAGGTCCAGCTACGTGCTATGATCAAATATCTCCACGCAAAATCTTGGAAATGTCCTCATCACATTGGTGAAGAAGAGAAATTTGTTTTTGCTACGTAAAATCCTCTCTGCCAAGGCCGTAGAATTTTCAACACTGTGGGGCTGGACCAGGACCCCCACAATTTGAATTTATAAGCACGCGTACGTTTATTTCTTCCTCATCCCACCTCCTCCTCATCCTTCTAAATTTCAGCTTTTTCATCACATAAAATTCTCTGGAAAAAGGAGGAGGAAAAGAAGAAGATGGGCTCCATTTCAAAAACACTAGTTTTCTTCTGCTTGTCCTTGGCTGTAATTATAATGGTCACCCGAGGTGCGGCTGCTGTAGAAGAAGAAGCCAAGAACCTTGGAGCTGAAGGTGGATACGCAGTGGTGTACCCTGATGGAGGACAGGAGGAGGCCATGGTGGAACCAGCGGTGGCCGTGGTGGCGGTGGCGTTGGATATTATTTCCAAGGTTGCAAGTGTTGCGGCCGATTGCCTTTCAGCAGAAATTGTAGATGCTGCTGATTTGATTTACGAGCCTCTGAAATTTACTAAGGCTACGTTTGGTTCTACAGAATTAGAATTGAATTAGAATTGAAATTCTATAGAATTGGAATTCTATGAATTGGAATTCCAAATCATTTCAATTCTTTCGTTTGGGAAATGCATAGAATTGATACGGAATTTATTTGAAATTCTAAATTCTTTGTTTATATGAGAGAAGAATTCATTAGGAATTAGAATTGTTTCCAACTAATATTTTCTTACATAAAAAATTTTTTTTTAATATAATAATTTTTTAACATTTAGCTAATTGTTACTAAAGCTTTAAGGAAAAAACCAATTAGTACCTTTAATAATTTATTTTTTCTTGCATTTAACTAATTGTTAATAAAGCTTTAAAAGAAAAAAAATTAGTTCTTTTTTTGCAAAAATAAAAAATTCTTTTTTTAAAAAAAATTAAATTATATTAAATAAAAAATAATTGTATATTCTAACTTAAAAAGTAGTTAATATTTATCGAGTTAAAACCTTGATACGTTTTTAAAGTTAAGAACTTTAAATTTTAGAAAATCAAAAGCCTACTCTATGATATGAATTGGGAGGAAAGTCATAACTTGTACCTATTATAAATATTTGAGTTTTGTTTCTTACAAGAAATTTCAATATAGGAATACAAGAAATAGAGGAATACGCAAACAAAGTGTTTTTAGCCAAAAAAAAAAGAGAAAGAAAAGCACAATTATACATTGCTACTATTTTTCAATAAATGGCCATTCTAATATGAAATTAAGTTCGAATAAATTCCTGTCAAATTTCAACTTCCATGATGGCCTTGTCTAATTTGATAGTCAATAAACATTGCTCGTGCTAAAGCATTCCTAAATTGTGTCCACTTACTAGTTGGTTGTACTGTTCGAATTCGATTCTCGTTAACAGCATTTACACCACCATCATTATTTGGACCATCATCTTCCATTCCATTTTCCTCATCTTCATCTTCATCTTCCATTTCATCTTCATCATCAACCTCATGTTGTACTCTTCGCATCTCAGCATCAACTTCATCCAAGTAAGGGTCATTTGGTTGTTCTACTCGAATAAGGTTATGAAGGATGGCACATGCATTAATTATCATGACATGAGTCTTAACATCAAAAAAAGATGCATCTCTCAAAATGGTCCACCGCTTCTTGAACAAACCAAATGTCCTTTCAATCACATTTCGAGCAATTGAATGTCGAAGGTTGAATAACTCTTTAAAATTTTGAGGCTTGCTCCCACTAGCAGACCACTCGCTAAGATGATATCTAACTCCCCTATATGGAGCTAAGAAACCGGAGCTATTTGCATAACCCGCATCAACAAGAAAGTACTTGCCTGTAATGTTAGACAACAAATTATTACTCATTTATAGTTAAAAGAAAAAAAAACACTTGATATCTAATTGTCACATACTCTTGGGAACAATTAATGGATCTGATCTAACTAACGCATCCCGTAGAACTCTACCATCTGCTGCAGAACCTTCCCATCCAGGCAATACATATGTAAATCTCATGTCACGGGAGCATACACCTAAAACATTTGTTACTATCTCATTCTTCCTATTCCTATATCTTCCTTGATCTCTAAGAAGAACATGTACTTTAACATAAGTACCGTCTAACGCTCCAAGACAATCCTGTATTATAAACAAAATATCATAAGTTGATGAATCTTGTAAATATTATCTTCATTAATAAATATCAAAAAATATTGATTACCTGAAACCATTCCCACTTTTCATGTTCGTAACCTTCCATTTCCGATTCAGGCTGGATAAGATAGTGTCTCCCCAATTTTATGATAGCACGTAGAACTATATTAAAGTATCGACTAACTGTCTCACCTGATCTTATGAAATTAAAATTGACAGTGCGATTCTTAAAATTATGAGCAAGAACATAGAGAAACATTGCAACTGCCTCTTCAACAGTAATATTTCTAGTATCCGTCAACCCACAATGCTCTCTTAAATTTGTACATAAAACAGTAAAACAATGTTTATTGAGTCTAAGTTGTTCTACACAAACTCTATTGTTTCCATAGTAAAGACGCCTTAGATATATTTCACGTGCTACTTTAAAGTCCAAGTAAGGCTCCTTTACTATATGTTTCTCATGCCACCAAACTACTAATGTAGCTATTGTTACCATATAATTTGCAACTACCACTTTTCTCTTTTTTGCTTTTTGCACGTCTCCTTCTTTATCCATGTCAATATCCAAATTCTGCAATTCAAAATCATGACAACAATAAGAAAAGGTAAGTCAAAAGACCAAATCATGCCAAACTAGCTATTAATTCAAAAGACCAAATTAGCTATTGGAAAACTCGTACATGATGTATTAGGATCAAAGCGCAAAGTTTTAGGTATCTGCCCGTTCTTACAAGGCCACGTTCTTGCACAATCTATCTCCAGCAAGCCTGTAAAACCAAGGGCATAATTAGATGTCACAATGGTGATTAAAATGAGACCCAAGTGATTCACAGTAACTAAACCAGCTTCTGGATACTCGGCTTCTAGTCTAGAATTCGGATGATGCCATAACTCAAGATTCACACCTCAGTTTGACAAGAAAAATGAAAAGTCTGGCACCCATTTTAAAACTCTACAACTAGCACCTCCAACAATCAACATTGTCCCATCAATTTCTATCATTTCTACAAACTCTGTAATGGATTAACTTGATTTGATTATCTTTATCACATACAGAAGTTAAAGAATCTAATCTGGTCGTTCAGTAATATAACAACACATGAACCAACTACTAGCAGATATACTAAAGCTATAACAAGAAGAATAAGCGCTTCAAATTTTCATTGACCAGAGTACTAACACTTTCTCAAGCCAGAATAATATGTTAAGCAAGAGCATCAAAAACTGCACTAGAAGGCTTACCAGCAGATTTGTTTTGAGAAAGGAATTTCTCGACCACACCTTCATTCTGGGAACAGTTAAACTGTTCCATCATAAAACGAAAAAGTATACTAATTAGTTGTACATCTTTACCCAGACACAAGATACAAGGCATTGTAATTTACTGAGAAATACGGGAATATGCACCTGCAAGTGCTGTACACAAGAGATCCACCTACTTTGAGCAATCTGAAACCGTTGGATAGAAGTTGAAGCTGAAACATATAGACAAGAGTAACGCGATGGCCATATGGAATTATAAGATCCTTAGGATGGACAGAAGTTGAAATTGCAACTTATTGACAAGTAGCCCATATAAAATCAAGATATTGACCATGGAACATAATTTTTTTCTCCATACAATGTATAAAAAACAGCTATTCAGTGGGATAATAGACAGAGAAGAGCATCTGACATCTCTTTGGAAGGTATCAAAAGCTGCCTAAAGCCCCTTTTGTCAATCCCTTTTTCTCTAGCAGCAATAGCTGTCCGAAGATGCAGGAATTAGATGATTTCTGCAGAGTGCTCTCTGATCAATGGGGTACTCTGGACATAAGTACACTATCACCAAGAGTACCAATGGTGGAAGATGTGGAATGCAGTGAAAAACATACTAGAGCGACAGTGCAGATTATTGTGGATAACACAGAAATAAAGGCAAGAAAGGTGCTTCACTACTATTCTCGTCTTACTTGCCCGGCTTACTTTGATATAGTTGATAAACTTGGACTCGATTTAACTAACTGAATTCAAACCCACTCCAGTCATCACACAACAAATTAGTGAGAGGAAGCAGAAACGAAAGCAGGCCTTCAATCATTAAGAAATGCACAACTTGACTAGAAAGGTTAAAATATCAATTATCAATATAACTAACAGCTCATACAGATAAACACGTCAATTCAATCCCAACTCATACCACTAGAAACATGAAGAAGATGGTATCAAATTGACGAGTTTCCCCAATCCAAAATATACATGCTTACCGGAAAAGTCAATAAAATTCTCAAATTGAATCATATTATTCAAAAACCCCAAATTAGAAGCTAAACAAAAGATAAAAGAAGGTCGCAACAAAATGGGAGTTCATTTATGTTAGCCTCTACTGAGTTTAAGAAGTGGAAGGTGCTAAACATTAGTTCCAACTTCATTCAGGGTGGCATCCCCCTAGAGATTGCCACATTCAAGAATCTGAAAAGTCTTGTTTTGGCTTATAATCTGTTAAATGGAAGTATTCCCGATCTGAAAGGCCTATCACAGCTTGAAGAGCTAGATATCAGTAACAATCCTCTTGGTCCTAAGTTTCCTTCTTTAGGCAACAACCTAGTACGTATCAATCTTAGGAGCATGGCTTTGAGATCTCAAATTCCTCCAGATTTCATTCTAATTCTATCATTTCACACCCAAAATTTTTATGTCCAAATCGATTAAAATATTTTATAACTTTAAAAAAATCCCCTGAAAATCATTTTTCATATGGGGTTCCACGTCTTTTTGTTGTAGTGCATTCCGAGCAATTGTTGCATCCGTGAGGCAAAAATATCATCTAAAACCTGCAAATCCGAATCTTTGTTGTCATGGTAGTATTTATCATATTACTGGATCTTATTAGACTCTCATCTTTACTTCCATAAATCAAGGTCAAATCAGTTGGAAACCATTCAATTACTGGAATAAAAATTGTGAAATTTCTCCTCAAAACAACAAAGAAAATCATCACAACCACTCTAATGTGAAACACTGACGATTTGGCCAGCAAAAGTATAACTCGAGCCAAGTTACCAAATCAGCCTGCATTTTTCACTACCTTGCAAACATCTATAACTATTTCAAGGATGAAAGACTTGCATCACATAGAAGATTCAAAGGATGATCAGATTATCCCTCTTTCCTTCTTAACACTCAACTTCGTATAGGGTGAATTTCAGTTAAAAACGTCATGCTTTTAATCTTTTAAACATTTGCAAATAATGGCTACTGCTTAAAGTGACTATCTGAATCCTGGAAGAATTAGCTCAACTTACTCGGAGCAATCTTGCGATTGGTAAGGGATAGCCGGAGAAGCAAAAAGCGATGCCGGAGACGGTGGTGGAAGAGGCAAAATGTTAGGGTGGAGGTGAAGGCGATGACGCAGAGCAGAAGCAGTTGTGGTTGAGGAAAAGTGATCGAGAGAGAGGGCTGCTTACCTAGTTGACCCGATTTTAATTTTTTACCCACAAGATCCGCGTGTAGACCCGTTTCACAGGGTTTAGTTGTGGAATTGGAATTAGAATTCTTTTGGTCCAATAAAGAATTCAAATCATGGAATTGGACCCCTATAGAATTCAGATTCAATTCTAATTCTTTGACCGAAGCAGTATCCAAACAACAGATTTGGAATTGGGGCCCCAATTCCAATTCTAAATCTCAATTCCATGGGAAACCAAACATACCCTAAGTGGATTGCTTCAACAGGCTCACCAATTGTGGTACTGGGAACTTTTACTTTTCAGCGTGGAATACAAATAAGAGCTTCATTTTCATTGATGTAATCCGCGGCAGGAATAAGTTGAGTATTTTCGATTACACGAGTGCGTAATTACAAGCTTTTATTCTGTTTGTTTTGGCAGAAGTTTTTTCTTCTTTGCTGCTGTAAATGCCTAAAGGCTACCTTTTCTTCAGAATAAAATTTTTGACACCCGCCTTTTCTAAAGGCCCAAAGGCTTTAGAAACTTTCTCATTGCAATCAAGTCCATTGCAATCAAGTCATGGACTTGATTGTAATGAGAATAAAATTCTAAAGGCTACCTAAATTTTTAATTTTTAATTGGTGTTTCGTGAACCGACCTTTTCTTCACGGCCAGATTATATCCACCGCTTCAACTGCAATGCTCCCATTCCCTATTCTTCTGGACCCGAACGAAGGGAGTTTTTTGAGGCCCAAATTGAAAGGGACTTATAATTTGGTTACCAAATCAGAAACGCCGTTGTACGACGAATGCAACAACTTTTAACCCAAGTGTCATGATCTGGCCCAAGTTTCATCAACCCAACTTTAACCAAGGCCTATCCTCTTATAGTTATAGTGTGCAGCTATAATTTTGAAACTACATCAAAAAGGAAAATCATATTGCAAAAAAATCAAGATGGTGAAAAAGTGCATCTTATTCAGGCAATGTAGCTTCTAGAGAGCTGCATGATATCTTCCTAAACTTGACAAAGCATACGAGTTATTTTTACCCGAATGTACTTATAAAAAAAAAAGAATAACAAAATACATTTTGTTCGTATTTACTTTCCAAAATATTATTGGAGTAGTTTTTCACTGTTTTTTTATAGAGTGTCAAGTATGATGCAAGAGTGTTTGGATAGCAAAATTTTTTAAATAATATTTCGCTTGTATCATAAATATATTTTTAATTCATATTTTTATATTTTTTATTATTTTTATTTTACATATACCACATCAAAAAAGTATTATGATAATTATTCTAAATAATATCCTGTTCAAACATGATATATATATATATATTTTGTCGAAACGTTAGATTTATATATCACCGTGAACTTTATAGTATTTGGACAAATATCCAATCAAAAGGACAACCGTCCTACAAAGATCATTGGTGCCTAGCACATAAGATTGGGATTCACCCATTATTCATCTAATAAAAAGATGTTTTGAGCATGCAAACTCAAGTTAATACTACCTATTTTTCCTGAATTAGCAAAAGAGAAAGAACACTTGTGAAACAAATTACTTATGAACTGGATGTCTTCTTCTTCTCTTTTTTTTTTGTTTTTTTTGTCAAATGTCAACTTCAATAGATAGGTAGATGTCTTCTATTAGACTAAGCCATCAGTTGATTGCTGTGCCTTGCATCCTTTATGCACTCCACCAGCTCCCTGTTATCTGGTTCCACTTTGATATTCCTCCGGTCTTGGTTGAACGCATTCTTCAAACATGATACAACAAATTGTTTTCTTAAAAAAAATTACTCCTATCAATCAAATGTCAAACGTGAATCTCGGCATGACGTTATGTCACTTGAAAGAACCACCAAAGTCAGTTGCTTGGCACTGCCCGCTCGGGAACGAATATACTGGCCGGACCCCAAAGTACTCTAATCTCTGACACCAGATGAACCGACCACCCACAAACGCAAACCCCCCAACTCTCATTCAACACGTTGGAAGCTCACGCTCCAACTTCTGACCACTCGCATAAACAAAAGAATAATCCAACGATTCACGCACCCCCCCCCAACAAAAAGAAAAAAAAAAAGGACACTCTGCTTTTCATTTTCCTTTTCTGTCAAACTAGTTATACATACAGTATATCTTCGGCTTTAAATTCCGAAACAAACCTTCTTCTTTTTTAAAAAAAAAAAAAAACTTTTTCTCAAAATAGGATTGCACACAATATATCAACATATTTGAAATTTGCAAATAAATTTTACATGGATTAATTTTTCTTGCATCGTAAATTTAAGAGCAAATTATCCGATTGGCCATTAAACTTTTGCGATCGTCAAGTTTTGGTACGCGAGCCCATTCTGTTACATTTAGCCGTTAAATACTTTGATCTGTCCGTTAGCGTGGTTTCCAAGACAAAAGACAGGGTCTTTTTAGGAAGTTCAAAATAGCACTTCTTCTTCTTTTTGCATAAACCTAAAGAAGGCAAATTCACCCGAGAAACTACAAGAGAGAAGGAAATGGAAGAAGCCTAGCTTGGAGCGCTGAACTCCGACGATCTGGTCCCGACGATTGACATAATGCAGTATAACATTTGGAGCTCAAGGCTCATGAACTCGTTCGCATCTGCTACAAGGACTACTTCTCTAGCTTTCACTTTTTTTTTTCCTTTTCCAACCACTCGATTCGACCTTTCCATATAGACAGGTCATTGGTCCATTAGCATGGTGGAGAAACCGAGAAATCATTTTTATCCCTGGAAGATGCTATTGCAACCCAAGATGCAGTTTAATCAGAATTGATCGGAAAGGTTCGGAAAAATTCTAATCAGAATTAGATCAAAAAGGTTAAAAGACAAAAATAATTCTAATTCTGGCCAAATCCTTCATGTCTATTCTTCCTGAATTATCCTAATTTTCGACAAGCATTTTCCAGATAGGAAATTGATTTCAAGCTTTATCCACGCCCATCCTTGCACCGGCAGCCACATCCAAAGTCCAGATGGAAGAAACAAAGTGGAAAAAGCAGATGCAGAAACTTAACTTTGAAACTCGTACACATTTTTTTCCCAGCTCACAGTAAAAAGGTACAGGTGTATGCCGTAATAATCCAAGTGGACACCGCTCAATCTTCAGATCTATCTACCATTGTAGATTATGCTGCAAAGCTCCCATAACAATTTGATTTAAATGATGGGTCACCCCACAAAGGTTTTGACGCAGGGCATAAAATTACCCCTTTGGCTTTCAAAGTAGAACGACTTCTCCGGGATGGCGGTCTTGGCATTTGCAGGTGCAGCGAAGAATTTGACGCTCAGAAATCTACTGGTGGCGTTGGAGGAGTGATGCCTGCGGTGGATGAAAATGGTCTGACGAAGATTTGAGGAGGGAGGAAGAAAAGCGACAATTTTTGAGAGAAGCATTGAATGCTACCATGAACTTCCTAAAAAGACCCTGTCTTTTGTCTTGGAAACCACGCTAACAGACAGATCAAAGAACTTAACGGCTAAATGTAACAGAATGGTCTCGCGTCTCATCTTTATACAGTTAGTGGTCAAAACCAGACCTTTAAAAGTTGAGTGACCAAAACTCGACGATCGCAAAAGTTTAATGACCAACCGGATAAATTGCTCTAAATTTAAACTTTTCTTTACATCAACAAGTTTAAGCATATGAAAAATAATTTTTATTTTAATTGAATCTCTTTTTTCATACATGTGACATGCATTTAGGTTGCCAATGAAAAATATTTTACATTGATAGTATAAGAAACATTTTATCCTATCAATGAAAATTCTCCAAAGTGATCAATGTTATGTAAGTTGGATTAGGTAAGACATAAAATTACAATTAAAGTAAACTTAAAGGTAGCATATCAATTACAATCGTGCCTCACAATTATAAAAGAAAGAGTATATTTTTAGTGATTAAATTTGTACAGCTGATCAAACTTTTTAGAAAGGACATTTTTATAGAAAAGAGAATACAAAGAATGCAAATTCATAAGTAATATATAAGTTTTAATAAATCTGTAGATGCGCATGTATCTATTTCAAAATATAATTCAGACATACATTTTGTATTCATTAAAATGCATATTTATATTCAATACCATACACATGTTATGAAGATAATCATTCAGTAATAAATTTTGTAAACAATACACATATACTCGACTTACAAATTTGTAAAAGCTTATATCTTGCTTATAAATTTTCAATCTTCCTATACCTTTTTTCCCAAAAAAATAGACAGTTGTTTTTGATATAATGTTTAGATATGGTGTTTTTGGAGTTGTTTTAGAAATACATATTTACTGTAGCATTTGAAATGTGAAAAACAGTTTTTCAAAAACAGTCCAAAAAACAAGGGATCCAAACACACCCATACATACATACATATATATATATATATATATGGCCAAGGCAGGATCGAAAATGAGAACATATTACCATTAATACATGCATGAATCTTACACTTTGTTGGACCGGCCAGAAGACATATAAATACTCCCGCGTATCTTGAAGTAACAAGAAAGCGAGTGTAAGCGGCTCACACAACTAACCACTAACGAACTGTCAACTTTCCTTCTTCCCCATTCTTCGCATCCTTCCCCTTGCTTGCTTTGTCCTTGCTCTTCTACACGGCCCTTAGATTTCACCAACCAACACACACTTGCGGTGAATCCGATTTATGTCAGAGAGAGATTTCAGGAGAGGAGTTCCGGTGAACCGGAGAGTTAAAACCAGACCGCCTCATCCCTCACGGTCACCTTCGCCGTCCCCGTCCCGGCACCGGCGACTCGCCGGAGGAGAAGTAGTCGTGAAGTTCACCGTCCTCGATCTTCCAAGCTTTCGAGGCGGCTTGAGATTTTTAAGAGATGCAATTCGGAGCCGGCTCTATTGAGAGCTAGAGGAGGAGGAGGAGAACATTTTGGTCAACGGAGTTTGGCTTCGCCGGAGGCTGAGGGAGTATTTTACCGACCTCAGACTTGTGCTGACATCTTCTCGGCATCTTCGGACAATATATTGTTGCCTCGGTCTCGCGAATATCTTTGGAGGTATCAAGATCAATTACACTGGATACAAGAAATAGTTTGCTAATTTAGTTACCGTTGCTGTTTGTGTTTTATCATTATTTTTATGCCGATAGTTCTGCTTATTGAATGAATATTTTTACTTCCTTTTTTCTTTTAAGATTTGGATGAAATTTATGATACTAATTTAATGCGGTTGATATTTTAATTGCTTATGCGGATGTTAAATACATCTTGTACTGAAATAAGCACTATCATCACTTACATATCCAAAAATGACCAAAGAAAAAAAAAGGAAGAAGAAGAAGATCAAAAGGTGAGGTATGGCTCACCTCGATCAGAGTTGGGTTCTGATATTCGATTGGGACGAATTTGTGAAATGAAAATTATTTCTTAATTTCTGTCTATCGTTCGATAAATAGAATATGTTGAACTGTGAATCTATCATAAGCAGTGAACAAATTCTTGAAGATTGGTTGCTATGTGTGGCCCATATGACTTTAATTGATGATTGCAGGAATGAGATTTGTTTCAGATGCTTGAAATTTGTAGAATCATGTGAATTGGCTAGTGCTCACGTTAAATTTTTATGCAATTCTGTGAAAATATGCAGGACTGTGCCTTAACTGTTGCCAGGGTACCACCTTGATGTCTAAATTGAGTAAGAAATTTGGGTTTGCAGGGAATGCGATACAGCAAGGATGCCAAGGTGGTGGTTAATGTGACAGTTGAGGGAAGCCCTGGACCAATTCGAGCTATGGTCAAATTGGGTTCAAGCGTGGAGGAGACAATTAAGCTTGTTATCGACAAATATGGTGAAGAAGGTCGCACTCCTCGTCTTGATAAAGATGCGACTACAACCTTTGAGTTGCACCACTCCTACTTCAGCCTTCAGAGTAAGTTCAACATATTGACCCCATGCATTCTTTTCTCTACACTAATTTCTTGGTACTTGACTTGTTCCAAATAGGGTGACGTCACAGAAAGGGAAAAACAAACTAGGATACAAGCATGTTTGAAAGTTATTGAGAGATTAATTCAGCCAAAGATGTTTTTGTATGTTGTATGCAATGACAAACAAGAGTATCTTCCACAATGCAAATTTTGATTGTCAGGGATTGGGATTTACATGGAAGTCATAAAATAAGTGATAGAATTTATTTCATCTTTATACAGGCGGGCCAAATTTTGAAATCTGTAGGCTAATAATTTGTCCCTTCAGGTGGCATTGTAAGCCTTTACTGTTGCGACAAGGGTCTGAATATGGTATATACCAAAGGCAACAGTTTCCTTTTGCACGCTCGCATGTTTCTGAGTCTTAGAACCGATTGTTGTGTCTATTATAAAATCTTTAATTTCTTTCTCCAGCTATCTGATTCCGATACAATCGTTTTTATCTTGTATAGGCTTGAATAAACTTGATGCAATTGGGGATTCTGGTAGCAGAAGCTTCTACCTTAGAAAGAATAGCAGCGGTCGAAGTAGTAGTGCCTCATTAACTCCATATGATCTGTCCCGTAATGCGGGCTCTCACCTGCCCGGTTCTTCCTCAATCTGCCTTCAGAGTTTTATTTGTAGGAAGATTAACAAATTCATGAGAAGAATGAATAAGCTTTGGAAGCTCTTGGGCTGCATGAACGGTAACAGATAACTACATACAGTTCCCCTTGTCAGAGCAACGTTGTTTTAGATATGTTGCTCTCTGAACCGGGGAAGGCGTGCCTTTTCATTTTCTGTATTTTCTCATTCCTGCTTGGGGTGTGGCTTTGTCTACAAGATAGAGCTGGAAGATCAAAGTTGCGTTGTATTGAAGAATAGCTAATAATGGTTGACTCAAGTGGACTACAGGGGCTGACTTTTCAGAGCTGCTGTACCTTTTGCGGTGAGGTTGTTGGTAAACGCGCCACCCAAAGATGTGAATAATAACATGGTGTGATATTAGTAACTGCAACCATAGCAATAGCTGCTGTACATACTGTACAATGTCAAAGGATGAGATGCAAGGAACAGAGGAAGTGCGTAAGCTTAGCACAACTGAGTTCATTTTTTCTTGTTAAAATGTGAATTCAAAACAGTAACTCCGATCTGTATATGTTTATTAAATTGCTTACTTCGATATCCGAGGACAGTACATAGTAATTGTTCATCAAGCAAAAAGTGTTTTGTCTCTATTGCAAGCATTAAAAAAGAAAGAAAAAAAGAAATTAAGTATGAAGACTTCGAATGAGAAAAAAAAGCCCCCTTCCACTTAGTTGATCATCCTGCATTAATTTTGTCATTGAACTTGTAAAATCTATTGCTTTGTTTTTCAGAAAAATAAGCAACACTTATTGGACTTAAAAAAAAAAAAAAAAAAGTCCTATTGGGAGTCACTACCTATTGGACTAATTTTGGAAGTCACGGCCTGACCTGCTGGACTAAGTTTGCACGTGAGGGTGAGGATTCTTAATTGCCACGAGTGCTTTATCAACCAAATAGAAGTGTTTGCATTTTTCCTGCACACGACCACGTCTCTTGGTGGCTCCCAGAGCCAACTCTGATCAATTGTACTGTATCACTAGCTGCCTTCGCTTCAATTAGGGTTTCTGTCCCAATTGGCAGACCATGAAAAAAATCAAAGCCACTCGTTAACTTAACCTCAAATGGTGTATCTGTTTCAATTGACTAATATCTTCTAGTTCTGTGTTACCCAAATACTGGTACTTAGTAGGAATGGATGCAACGATGGTTAATAACAAAACGGGAAAAAAACAAGAATACCACTTTCCAAGAAGCTTCTCAGCCAATCTCCCTTCCTATACAAACACAGAAGTCACAAACATCAAGCCACATGATTTCACTCAGCCGTATGCTCCATGGATCGCTATAACCTTCTTGAATCTCAACAGCCTAACACCTCCCATCCCATGTACTAAAGCACCATTTAGTTTTACACACCAAGACCTGCCACTCAAATAGAATCAATCTGTCTGCCTTGTGATACATGTATACATCCAGTCCATTCATCCAGCGCCTCACCAGCACGATGTTTTATTTCATAAATTTCTTCTTTTCAACCAAAATGTCTTTTCTATCTCCACCAAAACATCGGAATCCCAAGGTGCTGAATAGCAACTCTGCTGCGGAAGGCGGCAAGGGAAGAGCACTGCTGGAATTCCCGAACCCACGTGCAAAATCCAAAACCCCAGGTGGTATTCCGGATGCTACTGGAAAGCTGGCGTCAGCTGCATGGTTGAGTAATGGGAGGAAGCCGACCAAGTTGTTAATGAATGTGAACCTGCAGAGTAGTTTGGGGCCAGTGCAGGTGGTGATGCCGCAGGAAGACAGCGTTGGGGATTTGATAAAGGCGGTTGTGGATATATATACGAGAGAGAAGAGGCGGCCCTTGTTGACAAGTAGTGATCATCGGATTTATGAGCTTCATTACTCGCAGTTTTGTCTGGAAGGTGAGGTTTTTAATTGGGCTAGCTTGAAATTATGTCACTGCCATGAATTATTTTTGTTTATTTGCATGAATGCCTTGTTTTTGCTGCATTATTTACAGTATGGTTCAGATTATGGTGTGTGAATATTTTAAACATTAATTAGACGTCCTAAAAACCAAGAAATGTTGTGAGAAAAAAAAATAGAGAGAGAGAGAGACAGTGTGTGGTGCTCTCTGTAGGGGTTTGTTTGGAAGTGACAAGTTAAAACAGGGGGGCAAAATGCTTATCCATTACCAAGTCGTCTCTGTTTGGATTGTGGGTATCAAATAACATTTTGAACTATGCCAATTTTACGAAATTAAAAATGCTTTTTGGCAGACAGAAGCATAGCTAGTATGTAGAAAGTCGACTTAAGCTCATGATCGATGTTGTTTTCGTTTTAGCCATCAACCAATTCAACCATATTAGATTCATTTCTGTTTCTTTAGCGTTTCTTTTCCCCGTTTCTTTCGAAAAGGATAACAATTAGTGAACGCAATTCCTGTGAATTGCAGGATTGAAACCAGAGGAGAAGCTGAAGAATTTGGGATCGCGAAATTTCTTTCTCTGTCAAAGACCTAGCCATGCTGTGATCAGCATCAGTTCCTCTTGTTCGAACCAGGCTAAGGGAGGGACTCCATTTCCATTGACAAAGCTCATGGATTTCTTACTATAGTTCTTAGTATTTCCCAGCGTTAAATTGTCTACAAAACAAGAACGAAGAACTTGGAAATTTCAACCTCTACCAGGCGAATAAAATTTGCTAGACGTAAATGGTTGCTGTCTAGCTACATGTCTTTTATTAACCTCATATGAAACATGAAGCATATAAAACATAACCAAGCATTCCTATCCATTCTTCTATGCATATTCCGGAGAGAATGTGATATAAACAATGTGGGGAATTCAATTAGTGACATAAAAAACACCCTTAACATCTACCAATTAATGGATTCAAGTACACAAATTTCAGTGCTTAATTCTATCTTCCACAAAGACCCAATCTTTGTAGCCACAAATTAAGTAATAAGATCGCTAAAAGATCGAAAATGCTAGACAGCCGGACCACCACCAGTTTGATCAGACCAGGCATCGATTGTGTCATTATCCTTGAGGCCAAGATCATCCGCTGTGGCGGAGCATTTTACCTTAATCCCATTGAAAGTGAACCTTATGGCATCGTAGTCCAGTTTCAGATAATTGCAATACTCAAGCATCACATCACGAAGTGGACGACCCCGCTTGATCCTGAAGTAAACTTCGTGCTCATCCACCCTCTTAATCCTAATGATAACAGAGTTTTTATACGTTTCAACCTCCATCACTTTTCACTTTCAATCAATTGCCAAGAAAAAGTAAAGAGACAGATGATATCAGTAGAGCGTCAGTCGGGATAATATAAGAGCTAGCATGGCCTGTTTAGATACCCCAAGCTTTTTGGGAATGACAAGAGGCACGCACTCGATAGTAATTGGTTCGAACTTCAATTGATTGGAAAACTGAAGAGCATTATCACTAATTACTCAGAAGAAGAGAAGTAAGCCTAAAAGTTGAGTCTTGAATGATTTTAGACATATAACCCTCATCTGGTATGCGAAAATGTCTAGAGTAGATTTCCATCGAGAGTTGAGAATAGTAGGGAAAAAATTTTATCACTCCCGAATCTAATGCACAAGCCATAATGGAATGTCCATTCAGTTTTTAATATTCGTATAACCAATATTTTGATGTCCTTCTATGTCAAAATGAAATACAATAAATACAAATTTGACTCATTTACCCTGAATTAGTTTATAGGACATTACATATTTTGATACTTTTTGTGTTATTTATTCTATAATGATATTCATTCTTCAATTGTAATATTTGATTCATTCTAACGTTTAGATTTTTATGTTAAAGTTTTGCATCTACTACCAAATATAACTAGCAATGTAAAATAACAATTATAATTTATTTTTAATAAAAAAATTATTACACAATTGTTCGAAAATCAAAGGTTTACTAGAAAAAGATATTTTAAACACAAGAAAATTCTTTGTTATGAAAAATTACATTCAAACATTAATTAGCTTACAAATAGATTAAGATATGGCAATATAAAGATAAACTTGACATTTTACTATTTTGACATTCTACAATGGAGGTCGAAAGAGTTTTCTCTAAATTTTTTTTTCTTATGTTGAAGAATAGCCTAATAGGATTCCAAAAATTTTTTTTGGAATGAGCATTTTAGAGAGAAAGGGTTTATCCACTTAAATGATTTATACCAAATAGTGGAATGAAACGGACAAATTTAAAAAGCACATCTTTTTCAGACCATTCTTACGCATCAAAAACTAAGGGATAGGGTAATAAAAATTTGTTCAGCAACTCTATAAAGATAAGATGGGTATTTAGAAAAATTGGAATAGGCTTCTTGCAAGTTTTTTTTTTTTTTTTTTTTCCAAACGGTAACAAATTTCATTAATCAAAGAAAGGATTACATTGTTTGAGCAACTGCCCTTACATCAAGTGTGGCTAAACTAGTAAGCCAGATTGGGAAGGATTCCTTCCAACTAATTTCCTCAGACAAGCTAATGGCAAATTTTGCCAGCTTATGAGACACACTATTACCACCTCTTTTAACAAAAGAGAAGTAACAAACCTTAAAGGCTTGACATAACTCCAATACATCATGCAGGATGGTCCCTGCAGTTGGGTGATCCCCGTTCCTATCTGTAAGCAAATCCACCATTTGTTTACAATCAGATTGGATTTCCACTTTGTTCCACCCGCACTGTTTTGCCTTGATGACAGCTTCCCTGATGGCTAAAGCCTCCTCCACTGCTGGGATACCATTCCTTTGTTCACCACCTGCCCAAGCTCCTACTACCCTGCCATCCTCTCTTCTGGCCACAACTCCCCATCCTACTCTGCCTCCTTTAACCTCCAGGGCTGCATCAGTATTCAGTTTGACAACCCCCTGTGGAGGTGGAACCCATTTACTACTCCCATCCTCCTGTGTTTTCCTTGGTTCCGCTACCAATCCATCCCCATTTCTCACATCTTGATACTCAGACCACTCATTCACAGCTTTATTGACTATTCTTCCTGGACAGTTCCTTTCCTCATTAAATTGCACTTGGTTTCTGGATTTTCATATCTGCCATAGGATATTTACTGTTAAGGCAATGTGATTCCGTCCTCCTATTCTGTTCTGCACCTCCATCAGGCTATTCCACCAATGCCAAAAACTGTGCCTGTACTCCTTCAGACCATCCCAATCAATTGGAGCTGCCTTCCATATAAGCTCTGCATGACTACAAAAGAAAAACAAATGCTCCAATGTTTCTGTCATCTCCCCACAACACTTGCATCTATTCTCCCCTATCCCTATCCTACTCCTGATCACCTCATTGACTGACAGGACCCCATGCAAGCACTTCCAGAGAAAGTGTTTCAGCTTGTGTTTTATATCCAAATTCCATAGCACATTTCACACATTAGAGTGACATGCATTTCTACTATTACTGGCTTCTTGTGGTTCCCTCCTCCTCCCATCTCTTCTCATATCTCTAGCCAGCATATACCCAGTCTTGACTGAATACTGTCCAGATTTAGCCCACGGCCACACCAGTTTATCCTTCCCTCCACATAGGCTGATAGGGATTCCCTCAATCTTCTTGCAATCCTCCTCTCTAAACATAGATT